GTGTGCGCCAGGCGCTAGAACTGGCGCACACGGAGTGTGCGTGCTGGCGTCAACGTGAAGTGACGCCGTTTATCGCAACATTTCGAGTGTATTTCTCTTTTCGCGTCGATTTATCTAATATTTTTTGACTTTGGGTGTGAGATTGTCACGCAAATAGTGAAATCGATGGCGTGGATGATTTTTTCAGAGATATATGCCAGTGAAAAATGAAGAAAAGTATACAAGTGCCCCAATTATGTCCAATGTCATAAAGACAATGGTAGATGGTTTAGCTCTATCTCTTCTTTTGAAAAAGTTTTTTGTGAAAATTTGCTATGTAGTTTGAATCTCTGATTTTGATTTTTACAATAACGGTTTCTGAACGGAGTAAACGAGTCTTGGAGTGCATCAGCAAATTTTTTTATCCGGTAGTATTTTTAGGATGTGGCTGAACCTCTACCTCAGCAGTTTTTGCCAGATCATAACAGCTATTTTCTACAATTATTTTCTACAATTTACATTTCTACAATTACAATACAATTTCTACGGTATGTACAATACAACAATATTCTATATCAGGAGGTGGATACGCAGATATTCCAAAATTTTTGATTGCTCTTTTTCCTTTGCTCAAGTTTGTCAACATAGGAGCAAAAGAGCGCTCCTGAAAATAACCACCTCGGTGTTTTTAAGCTTTCAAATACAAAAAGCATACTTTGGTTCCCGGAAGTATGTAGTTCGGTGGAAGGCCATCAAAAAGGCTTTTCTTTATCTCCTCGTTCTTACAAGTTCACCGAAGGCAAAAATGACCGCGTCAGTTCAACCGCAGATGCAGCATCAGCTTGATCACCGTTCTTCAGCAAATCACGCACATGACGCAAATGAATGCGAGCCTCCCTCATTGTGTAAGGTTCTAAAGGATAAGAATTTTGCGCTACCCAAGTAACTGGAGTTTTGTGCTTACCTTCCACAACATGTAGAAAACTTCCATCCACAAGACCTAGCACGGCTCGGATTTCTGTGAAATTATCAAGCGTAACGCCATTCAACTGAAGGCTGAAACATGTTTTGAACGTATCGCCTCGCACTCTAGAAGCACTTGATGCACCTCTTGCACCATCTCGGCAGTGTTAATCTGTAAAAGAACCACAATTTTATCACGCGCATCGCCTCAGCAACACACCAACAGACTTTTAGGGGAAACAAATTCACGAATATCTCAGAAATGTAGATCATCGTTCATTCGATGCCAGTCATTTCGCATTTTCTAACAGTGCTTTATGCCAGTGGAAACCCTCTCAAACCCTTAAGTGGTTCCCAGTCAAGACTTGTGTTTTTCAATCAAGATTTGCAATAAAACACAAAAGCACTAAAACACCGCACAAATTTGATAAATTGGAAATGTACCTGAAGATCGAAAGTATCGCCAACAGTCCGTTGTATGGTCAGCGAGAACATGTCTCTTGTGGTGGTCCCCTGGCTGTTCCGTTGGCTTCCGCAATTTCAACTATAACTTTCATTTTCATGGTGACACAAACAGAGCATAAGCCGAGCCTCCCTATATAACCCTAAACCTACGAGCTAACTCAAATCAATGGGATACACAAGC